CGGATTGTCTTGCATGTTTCTTCAGGTGCGAGCGTTTCTCCAGGGCTGGACCCGGGAGTGGAATTGCTGGGCTACGGGGCACGGACCTGCTCAGCTGTATCAAAGGCCAAATTGATTTCAAAATGAGTTATATCAGTTAATGCTTCCACCTTAAGCACATAATAATAACTCAATGACAGTCCTGAGGATGATGACCGATGACAGCTAACTCACGTAGTGTTTCCTGTGTGCCTGGCTGTATGTACAGTGAGTCCTCACTTAATGTCATTGATAGGTTCTTGGAAACTGCCAACTTTAAGCAAAAGGACTTTTCCAACTTGCTTATCCAGTTCAGGGTCACAGGTGGCCTGCGCCTCTCCCAGCAGGTCATGGCACAAGGCAGGAACCCACCCGGACAGGACACCATCATAGGGCCACTCCCGCTACCACACCCACTCAGACTGGGACAATGTGGACACGCCAGTGCAGCTCACATGCACAGCCTTGGGATGTGGCGGGGAACCCACACAGACTTGGGGAGAATGTGCAAATTCCACATAGACTGTGATCCTGGCTAGGAATCATTGATTTATTTTTTTATCAATGTTAAACTAAGTGATGTTATTCAAGGCCCTGTTCTGCCAGAAGCACTTTACTTACATAAATTCACTCAATTCCCACAATAACCCGAGTGTCCTAATCACTCTGCATCCTTGCCAGCCCCTGAAGTTGTCTGACTTACATATTACCCGTCTGGTGGATGGGAAATGGGGCCTTATTGTGCTTCCACTTTGTATTTCTCTGATCATTGTTAAGGCTGAGCATCTCTTCCTATGCCTGTGGAGGGCCTCTTCATGTCCTTACCCTATTTTTAATAGGATTTTTTGTATTTCTTTTTACTCTTTAAGACATAATAAGTTTCCCCTATTTTTTCTGCTTTTTGTTAGAATTATTCGTTTCCTGTCATGTCTCCCATTAGACTGTCATCTCCCTAAGGGACTGACAGTGTCTTAGGTGTTTGGGTTCTCACAGAGCCAGGCATCGTGAATCAAACTTGGTTATTGCCAGGAACAGTTATCTATCTATTGTTGAAAGTTTGTACCTTTTACCAACATTTTCCTATTTCCCCCACCCGCACAGCCCCCTACTTTGCTACTGTTTTTCCATGAATTTTACCTTTTTAGTGTTTAGATTTCATATGCTGATATGTGGTGTTTGTCTTTGGCTTATTTCTCTTAGCCTGAGGCCCTCAAGGTCCACCCATGTTGCAAATGGCATGATTCCCCTCCTTGTTGTGGCCGACTAGTAGTCCATTGTGTATCTATACACCACATCTTCTTCATTCATCTATCTCTTCATGGACACTAAAGTTTTCATCTGGGTGTGATGCTGTGATTTACAATAAGAAATAATATATTTTTGGTCTTTATCTCCATTTCTGGCACAGAGCTCCTCTTAGATTTCCTAAGTAATGAGAGCAGTTAAGGTGTCTTTTAATATGTTAATGGTGTGACTTTTGGAATGCACCTGAGGAAGGGGGCTGGCTGTCGGGAGAACCAACCCTGTCTTTAGAGGGTTGAAACTTCAGTCCCACCTCTGGACCTCCGGGAGGAAGATGAGCTGGAGGGTGAATCAGTGGCTAATGGCCAATGATTTAATCAATCGTGATGACCTAATGAAGCCTCCATTAAAAAGCAAAAGGACAGAGTTTGGAGCTTAAACAGGTTGGGGTTCCGGGAGAGTGGGGTCCCTGGAGAGGGCCTGGCTGTTCCCGAGTCATGTCCTTCTATACTGAACTGGTGATTTAGTAAGTAAAATGTTTCTCTGAGTTATGGAAGCTGCTCCCTCCCACCCAAGGCAAGAGTCACGGGAACCTCTAACTTATGGTTATTTGGTCAGAAGTACAGTTGACAGCCTGGACTTGTACTTGGCATTCTGAGTTGGGTGGGGAGGGGGGTGCTTTGAAACCTTTGAATTGTAGCCGGTCAGTCAGGAACACAGTTAACAAACTGTGGAGGGTGGTCTTGTGGGACCAAGTCCTTTGCCTGTGGAATCGGATTCTATTTCCCAGTAGATAATGTCAGAATTGATTTGAATTCTCGGACACTCTACTCACGTCCAAATATTGCTGGTTGGTGTGGGGAAACCTACACACACACACACACACACACACACACACACTCACTCTCTCTCTCTCTCTCTGAAACTGGGTGTAGGAACCCTTGCCCTTGGCTGTAGTGAATAATAGTGAATTTTGCTATGACGAACATGAGAATGCGGATATCTCTTCATTACCCTATTTTTATTTCCCTTGAATATATGCCTAGAGGTGGGACTGCTGGATCACACAGTTGTTCTGATTTTCTGAGGACCCTCCAAACTGGTTTCCGTAGTGACTGCACCGATTTACATTCCTACCAACAGTGAACTGAGGGTTCCCCTTTCTTCAAATCCTCGCCAACACTTGCTATTTTTTATCTTTTAGTTTCTCTTCCCATTTTATAAGCAGATTTTTTTATGTTGAATTATATGAGTGCTTTATATATTGTAGATGTAAACCTCTTATCAGATACATGATTTACAACTATTTTCCCCTGTTAGGTTGTCTCTTCATTTTGTTGACGGTTTCCTTTGGCTGGGCAGAAGCTTTTTAATTTGATGCAGTCCCACTTGTTTATTTTTGTTTCGTTGTCTTTGTCTTTGGTGTCCACAGGGATATTAATGAAATAATTACCAAGGGCCAGTTTTGCTTTATAAAGTGGTAATTCTCCCACCATGCCAGCCATAGACAGTCCTTCAGAGGTTAATGGAATACCTACTGGGGATGTTGCAAAAACATCCACTGGGAAGGAGGTTGGACTATATAACATTAAGTTTCTCCCAACTTCAGACTTTCTCAATCTCTGTAAAAATCTTTGACCTATCCAGAAAAGTCCCCTTTGTATCTTGCCACCAAGTCTTGATCATTGAGGATCCCTGGATTACTTGGTCACTTGCTTAAAGTTGTTTTGTTTTTGTTTTAGTCATGAAGTAGAACACACATATCCAGATAAGTACATGAAACACAAATGTATAGAATAAGGAATAGTTGTACAGAGTTGTATAGTACCCAAGTCACACAATTTTTCGATAACCTCTATTGTGATGCCAGGCAGAAAATCAGCCACCCTTCCTTAGAAATTCAGCCTCTGGGGATGACTTGGAGAGGGTTGGCAAATTATGGCCCGCTACCTGTTTTTGTAAATAAAGTTTTATTGGAACACAGTCCTGTTCATTTGTCTTCATATTGTCTATGGCTGCTTTCAGGCTACAATGGCAGAGTTGAGTAGTTGCCACAGAGACAGTATGGCCTGCAAAGTTGAAAAGATTTATTTGCTATGTGGCCATTTGTAGAAAAAAATTGCCAACCCTTGTTCTAGAATCTGACTTGGAAAAACATAACCACCTCTATGTCCTCTGTGGTCTCATCCTCTCAATAAAACTAATCTAGCAAATCTTTATTTGAGAAAAGGAAGTGAAATTAATTACAACATTCAAAAATATTAAGCTATAGGATCAATTTTAATGAAACCTTGAGAAGAGCTAGAAACTAAACCCATAGCAAATTATCTGTGGAGGCTGACCTCCTTATGGGTGTGCCGAATTATATCAGCAACAATTTTTATAACTAGAAGACTAGAGCAACCCAATCATTTTTTAGGTCACGGAGTGTAACTAATTGAATAGAAGAAGGGATCAACATCTTGAGATTCCATCCTTGGAGAAGGTAAGAGCTGAAACACCGAATTTAGTAGCAAATAGAGCTAGAGCATACCTCACTCTGTAACTGACGTTGGGGAGGTGCATGTGCCCACTGCACCGGGGCCCGCACTCCCACGTGCCTGGGACGAGGCTCAGTCAGACAAACCAGAATGGGGAGGCCGTTGTCCATCCATGGTTTTTCTTCTTCTTCAACACAGAAAGTTTCAGCTTTAATGCTTTTCTATAACCATCAATTTCCCAATAGCAAAACCAATTTTGTTTTCTGTAGACAATCTCATAAATGAAAATAAAATTAGGGAATAACTTAACTGACTAAAGGGAAAGTGCAGTTGAACACAAATGATTGTATGAAGTTAATTAAAAAGAAAAACAGTGTAATCTCTTCCAAGCTGTATTTCAACCTAAAGACTGCTCATGCTGAGGCAGAGAGTAAGCTGAGAGAGACAATTAAAAGCCTATGACACCACCTTCCTTCTCCCCCCGCCCTAATTTAAAAAATATGTAGAAAAACACCTTGCTTTTCAATTTACATTCAAAGAGTGCTTGTTTGGGGCTGTCTGAGTGAAAAAGTGAGCACATTAAAATAGAGCAGTCTTTCAGGTATACAGAGAATTATTTTTCCTTCCCCAATGGAGTAATTGTGGGAAGTATAGGTCTTTGGAAATGTATTTCTTAAAAATGATGTGTAGAACATGGGTGAGTTTGAGATCAGAAAGAGACCTTAGATCCAAACTGAAACCTTCTCATCTTAAAAGAAGACTGACCTGTGGGCTTAGGAGCACCCACCTTTTATTATTAGCTCCTTTATCAAAGCAGGACATGCTGCTGGGCAGCAGGACACAGTGGTCTGGAGTTCCGTGTTTGTCGTTAAACAGACCTGGGCTGGAGTCCTGGATCCCACAGCCCAGAATTGTGTGGCCTTGGGGAAGATGCCTGCGTTCCCAGAATGTGAAGGATCATAATGATCCCTGCCTTAGTGTTGTTTTAAGTATTACATGAAATAATACATACAGAAGTGTTAATTTAGTGCATGGAATGTAGTAAAATAGTGAGAGAAAACTGAGCATGCCATTCTCTGCTTAGTGGTGGCCACTCCAGGGATGAAGCTATAAACAACTAGTACAGACTTTTTGTTTCCTAATTGCCATTCTGACATTTTGCAGATAAGAGCTTTCTACTTGTTAAGAGGAAAAAAATTGAATGGCTTTCTCCCAGCTGTGTGTTTTTAGATACCTATGATTAAAAAAAATTGCAGTCCCGTACTTACCTGGCAAGGCAGATGCTGTGATCACGAAGGTGGTTTTCCCAGGGTGAGGCTCACCCACCGCACTCCGGATGTGCTCAGCGCTGCGGTTTCCCCAAAGGTGACAAACTCGACCGCATAATTTGTGGTAGAGGGGGACTGCATTCGGGCTCTCCCCTGAAAAAAATTACAGTCTGTACTATAACCACAGACTTCAGTTGCCAATCAATGAACATAGGCAGCCCTGAGACAAGGAGCCAAAATGGCCACTGACAATAATGGTTAACACTTAGTGAGTGCTCACTGTGTGCCCGGTGCTGTTCATTCATGAATCTGTGCCCTTCATCCTCATAAAACCTGGTGAAGTGTTATCCCCATTTTACAAGATGGGGAGCGGAGGCACTGAGAGGTGAAGGCACTTGCCCAGGTTACACAGCCAGGAACAGGCACACCTGGGACTCCGGACCCTGCAGTCTGGCTCCCAGGCCTGTTCTGGGCATGTCCTCTGGATCGCAGATGCTAGACTTCCCAGGCCTGCCCTGGGTGGTGGGCGCAGTGGTTGCTGGGATTGGGGCAGTCAGAACCATCTCCCGAGAGCCCTGTGCAGTGACCCAGACCCAAGCCAGAGCTCAGGGAAGTTACTGGTTCAAAACCACCTCAGGGATTCAGCACCAGACACACCCCAGGCCCTGCCTGCCTGGGCAAATGTCACTTCTTTCTAGACCTCTCATTGCAGGGGCCCAGGGGTATACGTTCTGGTATAATTGCTGGGACCCGTGGCTAAAATACTTTTTGTGGTCCTTGTTCGGACAAGAGTAGTTTTTAACGTGAAGGGGCTACTTGAATTTGTTGTAAAAATAATGGTCATATTTGAGAGCTGGGTTTAAGGATGAATTGAATTAAATTAAGATTTAAAAAAATCTCCCATGTTGTCAGGGCCCACCCACCGCTCGCTGGACTGTTGCCTCTATTTCTTTTATGAAGATCAAAAACGGAAAAGTAAATGCCTTTCAGATAGTCCTTGGCCTTTTCTGCTTCTTTGAAGGTAACTTTCTCTTGCAGACAACATTTTGAAGGACTGCTTGGGGATGAGAGGAAGGTGAGAAAGAAGGATATGAATGAGGAAAAATATCCAGGTAGCCGTTTTTAACTTTCAGGGGTGATGCTTTCCACATATTTTAGATGAAGCACGTAGGTATTCTATCCAGTTTGAGTTATATGGCACCTGTCAAACAATTCAGTCTTCGTTTTTACAGGTAAGGAAGATGAGAAAGCAATTTAGCGACAAAGCCAGGACTAGAAACCAGGTCTCCAGATTTCTGTGGCCCCGTCAAAATGCTGATCTGCTACTGGGAAGGACGAATGCCACAAGAAAGAGGCAAGAAAGAGGCATTGTCCCTAGACTGGCAGATGCAGTCCTAATGTTCAGTTTCCCTTGTTTCAAGGTTTTCCATAAGAAGATTCCATAAGTCAGAAGACTTTTTCTAAGGTTTATGTGGGGAAAGGAAGATGTTGCTTCTGTTGCATATAAAATTTGGCGATAAACAGTGCCATTATTTTGTAGTGTTACTGGAATTTATTTAGATTTATCAATTTCATCCCTATCTTTCCACTCCCTTCCCCCAAAGTGAAACAAACTTAGTATCTAGTATCTTTTTCAGGCTTTGGTCTACACTGATACTCTCTGTTCAGCAATTGTCAATTACTGTCCTAATATTCACTTCTGATCGGATATATTCTTATACTGCCATTGCATTGAGTTTCTCTCATTAGCTTCAGAAGAAAATGCATACAATTTTTGAAAATGTCCTTTGGTGAGCTTTCGATTCCTGGAAATTTTGTTATAAAAGTTTAAAAACAACGCAGAAAGGTGGGAAGAATTTTACAGTGTATAGCCCTCACCCAGGTGCTGCTATAAGCACGCATCTCCTTGGGTTGGCCAAAAAGTTTGTTTTTTTTTTCTGTAAAGTAAAATACACATTTTTCATTTTCACTAATAACTTTATTGATTTGGACATTTTGAGTAAGTTGGCTATCTCCCCTGTGGTAGAATGTTTATTATTAATGTCTTGATTTGATCGTATCAACTTCAGCTGGTCTGCCCAACCACAGAGTGTCGTCCAGGGAGAAATCCCCAGCATGCAGCTTTGCAAACCACTTTTGTCACATTTCATCAGTCCCAGCACCTTCTCCATGCACTGCACAATTTTTTTGCTGGGGCTTCAGTTGCATTTCTACCTGACTTGAAATAATAAAGCATAAGATACCAAAAAGTTACGTATTTTCTTCCATCTTCAATGTTAAAGTGGCTACACAAAAAATTCACCAATGTTGATGTTTTTGTTAAATGCATGGAGATATGACAGCTGTTATAATACAACCTAACAAGATTGTTTCGAATGAAGTTGAAGACAACTAAGCACTGCTAGCACCTTCTCAGGAAAAAGACAAACTTTCTGGCCAACCCGATAGTTACTGTCCATTTGTTGGGAAGCCTTTAAAAATAAGCACATACCCTTGCTGGGACCTTGGTGCTCCCAACAGACTCTGTCTTTGCCATCCACTAGACACTGATATTTATTTTATTAAAGTTATAAATTCAGAAACCTAGTTTTTCCATAAGTTTTTAAGTTTAATTCCCAAACTTTATTTAGTTCTAAACTCATCATTGTTAATAGTCACAACGAATCTGGTTAGTTTGGCTTCATTTAGTTAATTCTCCTAAACATTTTAATGCATTGATTTATAATTTTAATATCCTGTTATCTTTTTTAATATTTCATTTGCCTAACAAAATTTTCCTAATTCTTATAAATCTAATAAAGTGCATAAATGTGGTGAAACTTAAATTCTCCTAAACATCCAAATATTATGACAAATGTAGCAAAGTCCTACCAGACCTTCTAACTTAGAATCACAAGTCTGTTACTTAGTCACAGAATTGGCATTGGAATCACAAGGATCATCTGCTAGCTAATCCAATGTGCCAAATTCTCCTAAATATTATAAATGCTTCAAATTCCAAACATAAAGATACTGATGTGACAGATTTGATTTATAACATTATTTCCATTTATCTATAAGTTCTCCCTGGCTTAATGGGTATTTTTACCCACCAAGGAAGGAATTCTACCATCAGCCATTCTGTTAGTTCTTGAGGTTGGAGGTGCACGTGTCCAGGTGGCTTTTTCTTACATCCATGAGGGGACATGCAGACTTCTCTTCCATAGTTGTTGTGTCACTGAGGTCTCCAGATCCAAGTGGAATGGCTTTACGGTCCCCATCTTTTGGATTCTGATGGTATCTTTTGTAGTCCGAGTAGCTCTGTAATCATCCACCTGGGTTGCTTCACTGCTCCACTGGATTGAACTGATCTATTTACTGCTTGATAGTATTCTGTTTTTTTTCTGGTCACAACATTTGTAGCATTTTAAATAATATCTGATTGTATTCTATGCTTTTTTATAGTTGTGCTGACGTAGTCTTTAATTCTACTGACAGCTAATTATTGTTTTGCTGCAAAGAATCCTTTTATTGTCCCCTACTATGAATTTTGGAAGACTGCGGAAAAAGGCGGCATTTAATAAATGATAATTAGTGGTGACTTTCTTTTGGCTAATGAAAGACCAATTTAACTTCTTATTAGAGCTTCCACTCTGCATGAGATTAATCAGTGCTACAAAATGTGTTGATAGAATTCCAACCAAAAGAAAAGAAATCATTTTTGTTTGAGTGTAGCTGGATCAGTGCAAATGCATACTGTCTGTTAGGCTCATTAGCAAACTAGTAGTAATTCCCGAGATCCTCGTTGCTTCCTTTGTAGATGTCAGATGGGGGACCACAACACAGCCTTATCAATCCTCTGTCTTCCCTCCTTCCTCAACAGCTGGGCCATGTACTCTTTCCATCTTTTGGGGACCTTTTGGGGGAGGAACCTTTAGTTCCTCTGTCTCTGATTTCCACCTTTAACTATTCTCTTTGGTTGTACACGCATCTCGCTTGTGTTAAAGAAGCTCATGATTGACTTTGTTTCCCCCCTTATAACAGTCTGACTTTCGTCCTTCCAGTTGCCATCAAACTCTTTGAATGTGGCCCATAGGAAGTACCTATTCTTTCTCCTTTTATTACCAAAAAGTGTGGCTTTTATTACCTCTTCCCTACTTTGCACTGTCCAAGGTCACCTGCATATAGTTCAACACCGTGGATTTCACTGGACATTATCTAGTCTACCCTTGTTTTTTTTTTTGAGCCATTTATTTGGCTTTTGTGTCATCTGCTTCTTTTCTGTTTTCTCTGACCAGTCTTTATTCATGTTTTCTAACTGTAGGGGCATAATGAGGAACATAGATTTTAGAGTTAGGTAGACTTGGCTTTGAACCTCAACTCTGCCATCACTAGCTATGTGACCTTGGACAATGGTCATCTTTGAGCTTCAGTTTGTTCATCTGTAAAATGAAGTAAGAAGAATACCTCACTTCTAAGTTGTATGGATTAAAAATACTTGTGTTCATTACATTCCAGATTCCAGTTGTGAGGTCATACAGTGTTTTTCTCTTGCTGTCTGGCTTATTTTACTAGGCATAATAGTCTCTAGTTCCATCTATGTGGTCGCAAAAGGTAGGACGAAATAAACTAATGAAAAAAATAGAACCAGACATGGAACAGACTGGTAGCTTTTGGAGGGGAGGTGGGAGGGGGGATAGCAGAAGGAAGGGGAAGGGATTAGTCAAGAACACGTGTGAATGACTCATGGACACGGATAACAGAGAGGGGATTGACTGTGGGTGAGAGGGGTGGGCTGGGTGGAGGGGGGCAAAAGGGAAGAAGACTGGGACAACTGTAATAGAATAAACAATAAAAAAATAAAATAGAAAAATGTAGAACCTAAAAAACTAAAATACATTAAAAAATTTTTAAAGTACATGTGTGTATAGTGTGTAATATAGTAGCTGGCCTTTTATCAACTGTCTTTTCTTTGCAATTGTGAAAATATGGTTAGCACGCAAGGTTTACTGAGGCATCCTCTTTTCCTGTGAAACAGCCAGTTTTTGTTTGGTGCAGTGACTCCAAAATTTGTGTCAGCTTTCCATCTCCCAACCTCCAGTCTCATGTTTTTACTGGTGTGCTAATTCTCTTCACCCGGATGCCCTGTGCAGTCCAAGCGGTATTCAGCCAGTGAT